GACATTATTGAGATCATTAGAATCAACTACTGTAGTACAACCATCAATAGACCAATTACCAATACCATCTGAATAAAGCAACAAAATCAAACTAAAATTACATAGCATTAGTTACCTGCTCCAGTAAAGTTCCAGAAAGCACAACGAGGATTTGTAACATTCTGTGAATAATAATTTATAGCATAGTAAACATACTCTTATCAGTGACTTACTTCTTCATTTAATGCTAAAATGATTGTAACTGGATCAATCAATTCAGTACCATCAGGTATTCCACCAACTATTATACTGATAACAGCTGAACCTACCACTGTCATTACTGATGATGAAGAGTTCACTTCTTTACGAACTGGAAAGAAGTTTGCTTTCTTGTATAAAGTTGATGCTACATCAATGTTCTCACTGCTTGTAACATTTTTAATGTTCTTTGGTAAAATCACCTTTGTGATAAATGTCAAAGAACTCAAACTGTCAGAAGTACTAAAATTTAATTCCTTATCTATCAATAATAATAAATTATTATTTATGATTTTGTGTTAGTAGTTAGTACACATACTTACTAAAAGCACAGGCTGATATTGTTAATCCACTAAAATTAGCTCTTGCAAACTATTTCATTATAATCAATCATTATATGTAGCAATTGCAATAGTCTTACTCTTTCTGCTCTAAACAAAATGTTTTCTTCAGCAATTTTAATTACAGCAAAATTTTCCTGTTCAAATACAACTTGTATGAATCCTTCAAATGACTGGATTATACTGAAGTGTGCATTTAAACAAAATAAATCATGTTAACTTGTAACTCACTTATTGGATAAAACATTAGTTACATCCATGGGCCATTCTACTAATAAATTGAGTGTTTGTACAATATTTCCTGTTGTCTATTACACATATGATATCATTACAAGTGTCAATTAATCTACAAACTTACTTCAATTATTAATGGCAAACTTTCATTTTTCAAAAGAACAGATACTATTGCTTCCAATACTGTTGATATTACGTCAATGTTTTGAATGTTTTGGTCAGCAAGAGTACGTGTTGCATTTTCCACTAAACTGCTCATATTGAAAGCTGCTGAACCAAAATTATCAACTGTAATGTTTACCTGAAACATATTAAATAGGGTATTTACATCTAACCACAATCATAATTATACTATTATATTACCCACTTTAGATAATTCAATGAATCCATTTGTAACATCAGTAGTAGCACACCTCATCACATCTTGTGATTCCCAATCAGAAGAAGTAGAACATATTCTACTTGCTGTAGCTCCAATAGGGCCACTAGGACACAATATGGTAACAGTCATTCCAGCTAGTGTTAGTGGCCATTTAAACTGACCATGATCATTAGTATTAGTCTGGGGATGGCATACACGAGTGGGGACTGAAGTTGATGTAGGAAGTAGCAATGATATACTTGGATTGATTATTGAGGGAACAGAGCTTGGTTTTAGTGGAATGGAAGATAATGTCATTGAAGTTGATTTGGGTGATGCCAAAGTTGAGGAAGATGATAATGAGGATGATGAAGTATGAAAGGAAGTAGTTGGGTAGATTAAGGATGAGGTAACTGATGAGTGTGAAGAGAAAACTGCTGGAGAGGGTAAACAGCATTTTGAAGAATTTGAGCAATATGGTCCAGTTGAGTTACATGATCCAGAACCGGCTGATACTAGAATGCCATTACTACTATCAAACTCAATCCGAGTACTTGATAACCTTCTGAAAACTTTAGTACATATAGAAACTGTCAAAGGACTATTAACATCATTTTCAATTGTTACAGAACTAATTAATGGAAAACAAAAGATACTGCTTTGATTACAATCAATCCAGTGAAAGTACAAGGTTGTGGGTCTTGAATAATTAACACTAATTTTGTATTGTGTATTTATACCTGGTTGGGAGCCTATGAAATAACACTATAGCATAGATCTACTAGTAGTTATATTTTACTAACATACCATTGTAGGTCATTAAATAGTTGATGCCTCCTCTAAGTGTTTCTACCCACAGAGTTACAACTGGATCTCCAACAACACAGTCTGCACTTGTCCCGAGATTAAACTTCAATGTAACAGTGTCTGAGCTACCACCAGCAAAAAGAAGAGAGAAAGGCAGTAAAAGCAACAGCATTGTTACTGGTTAATCCAACAGAGGAAATGGAAATACCAAATGCTAAAGTGCATAGCAAACATCAGTTGTCTAATGCATGTATTTGTAGCGTAGGAGTTCTTCATTATTGTAACTGGCTCCACCTACCGTCCACGTGGTTCATGATGGAGGCTACAAAGCAGAAATCTCACAAGAAGCGACAAGCTGGCACCAAAGCTATAAAAAAGAAGAAAAGGGACAAGAAGGGGAAGGAAAACGAGGAAGCAGAGGATCAAAGAAACCCCAAGGCTTTCACTTATCGTAGCGCCATCAGAGCAGCCAGATCAAAAAGGAGGACACTAGACATCAATGAAAAGAGGAACCGTCTCCCCCAGGTGGACAGGACTCCAATTGAACCTCCTCCAGTACTAATAGCTGTAGTAGGACCACCTAAAGTTGGGAAGACGACACTAATCAATGGACTAGTGAAGCACTTCACTCATCACACTGTGTCCAAGAACCAGGGACCAGTCACTCTAGTGTCAGGTAATAGTTTAACGTATGACAGTTTTAAAAGTGGATAACTATTTTTGTATACGACCTTTATCAAAAGGTTTGTTCTTGCAAAATTTTGCTATTCTGCCATCTTGTTTTGTAAATTGATTTTCATGGAATTTAATGTTTTGGATTGTTAAGAAATCTGTTAAATTTGTTATTCTTGGAAAGAAACAGCAATAAAGTCTTGACTATCTGGGAAGAGTGTGTAGTGTGTACTCAGATGTACAGAAATGTCATGCCTACCTAAATATGCATGAAATTAGTACAAAACACAAAGCATCTCTTCCTTCGTTATTGCTTGTAATTGATCCTTCTCTGTTTCTCTGTCCTCTCTCTCTCTCTCCTCAGGTAAAAAGAGACGGATCACATTTATTGAGTGCAATAATGACATCAATTCAATGATTGACATAGCAAAAGTCGTAGACCTTGTAAGTACATTAATGGTTTAATGATCTCAGAAATATCAATGAGTCCAGATGTGCTTTTATTGTGTCTATAAATATCACCAAAAGAAAAATAACATTATCTTTATTAGTTAAAGTAACATTATTCTTGATGTTCGTTATAATAGTTACATTGTATATTGTAGTAGCTACAACTTTTTGTCTGAATGCTTTTTAGGTATTGCTGCTTGTTGATGCCAGTTTTGGTTTTGAGATGGAAACGTTTGAGTTCTTAAATATCCTACAGACCCACGGGTTCCCTCGTGTGATGGGAGTACTGACACACCTTGACATGATGAAAAAGAATAAAAACTTAAGGAGACTCAAAAAGAAACTCAAACAAAGATTTTGGACAGAGATATATCAGGTAAGGTACATATGGGACAATTATTGTATTTAGCTTGATTGCTTTTAAATTAAAAAAATTAAACAAGCATACAATAATCATAAAAGTACCAACGCAAAGTTGAAATGATTATGATGTTTTATTGAATCTGAACCCAATTTTTATTACACATTTTGATACCAGGGCAATAGTTAATGTACTGGTAAGTGTTAATGTGAACCAGTCTTTATCATTGATATTATAACATTTTTATTTTATTTTTTTAGGGTGCGAAACTTTTCTATCTGTCCAACATTCGTCATGATCACTACATGAAGAATGAGTTGCATAATCTTGGTCGGTTTATATCAGTCACAAAGTTCAAACCACTAGACTGGCAGTCATCGCATCCTTACCTCATTGCTGACAGGTAGTGCAGTTAATGGTTATACATGTACATATACATGTACATGTGAATGTATATATACATGTATATTATCTATGGGGTATAATAATAAAGGTGGATATTGCCCCTCCTGTGGCTTTGTTTATTTATAATAACAAACCACTCGTCTAATTCTTAGGAAGTTAGGAGTGGTTTGTTGTGTAAATAAACAAAACTATAGCAGCTGGTTACCAGCGATGGGCTGAATGGGTAGCTATACAAATATGGTTGAACATGCAAGGTTAATTTATGGTATTTATAAAATGCCGCATCTTACATGTGTATATACTGTATATGAGTTAATAAAAGTTATACATGCATAATGTCATTGTTACATGTACATGTATGCTGAATACACTTTTATCAGTATCTCTCTTTTTTCTATTCTTCCTTCTTCATTTCATAGGATGGAGGATCTCACATCTCCTGATTCAATTAAAGAGGATCCATTGTGCAACCGAACCATCTCATTGTATGGATATGTGCGTGGAACTAACATGAAATCCAGCTCCTATGTTCACATACCAGGTATGAGATATTTGGTACCAAGATCTCAGCTTATGTTCATTGGAGTAATATTGTACATGATCATAATATTCTCTGTTCTTTTACTTTCTCTATTTTCCCTGATCTCTCCCTCCCTCTCTCTTTCTTTCTCACTCATTCTCTCTCTCTCTGTCTGTCTGTCTCTCCCTCCCTCCCTCCCTCTCTCTCTCTCTCTTTCTCTCTTTCCCTTCCTCCTCTCTCTCTCTCTTTCCAGGTTGTGGTGATTTTAAAATGGCCAACCTTTCAGTCCTGCCTGACCCTTGCCCTCTTCCTGAGAAAGAAAAGAAGAGATCACTTGATGAGAGGGAGAGACTCATTTATGCTCCAATGGCCGGCATAGGAGGTGTGGTCTATGACAAGGTAATTAACATCATGTCTATTATTATTATTATTATTATTATTATTATTATTCTCATTTATAGGATGCAGTATACATTGAATTAGGTGGGAGTCATTCCATGAGTAAGAACACACCCACCAGTGAGATCATTCACTCGCTAATGAATACTGGTGAATTATTGGACAGTAAGATGAAGGACTCACGACTGCAACTGGTGACCAACTCAAAAGTCCCACTGGTTGGAGCCGAGGAAGAGGAGAGAAAGAGAAGGAGAGTTACTTTTGAAGGAGAGGAAGAGAGCGAGACTGATGGGAGCGAAGATGAAGAAACAAATGAAATCATAGAGAGTGATGGAGAAGATACTAGTGGCATAGAAACTGACACTGAAGAATCTAATAATGGAGAGAGTGACCATGAAGAGAGTGACCATGAAGAGAGTGACCATGAAGAAAGCGATGAAGTTGAAAGTGATGATAATGAAGATATTGATGATGAAGATATTGAGAGTAATGATGGAGAAGATTTTAAAGATGAGACGGGTCTTAAGTGGAAGGAGAACTTGTTACAAAAAGCGGCTGCTTCTTTCATGAGGAGCAGGAAAGTTTCACTCCAGAAGCTCATATACAGCAATGACTCGGAAAGAAAAGAAGGAGAGAGTGACGATCCAGGGAAAGAAGAACTAGGAGGAATGTTTGTGACTCGGAAATCGGTCAACGATTCGCACTATCACCAGATCGACTCTTCTGTCACCGACTTACCTCTTAGTCAGGACTGGTGCGATGGGGAGGCTGTTTCTGTTGCTAAGGATTACTTTGTTACTGGTAGTTGGGGTGATCTTGATGCTCAAGCACTGCTGGATGAAGATGAGGAGCTTTATGGGGACTTTGAGGATTATGAGACCGGACTGAAGACTGAAGGAGACGTAGAGGAGGGGGAGGAGGAGGAGGAGGAGGGGGAGAGAGAGAGGGAGAGGAAGAAGAGAGAGCTAAAGAAAGCTTTTGATGTTCAGTACGATAATAAAGATGAAGAGGTTAGCTATTTCTATTGCTCTTACATTTGTAAATCTGGCCAAATGCTATATGTATGTAGTACAGTGACTTTGACCAAATTTTGCTAGGAGAGAATTCTCTATTTTTATAATTTTTCCTGATATTTTTATGTTGCGTAGAAAGTTTGAGCTAATTCCGATCAAAATTGGATTTTTTACGAATTTTTAAAGTTGCTCAAAATCATTGTCGTGCTCTCATTTTCGCTCACGATAGAAAACATACTATTCCTTAGGGCATTGATCCTCAGGGCACATGAAACAATGCATTTTGTGGTCTTGAGCTTTGCTATTTTACTCACTGTATGTGTACCGTATATCCTTAAATAGAAGCCGCATTCGAATAAACGCCGGGGTAGCAATACAATTCAACTATAAATACGCAACTCTAGCCCAATAGTAACTCAGTAGTCTAGTGGATAATGCTGGGAGTTCCAGAAGTCAAAAGCATGAGATTATGGGTTCGAATCCTGCTCTGGGCCAAAGTTTTTTTATTTTTTATATTTTTTCGAGATCCAAATACCGTTTTAGGAAATAGATGCCCGGGCTTTTATTTAAGGAAATACGGTACATGTATGTACAGTACATGTATCATTATTCCACGCTCAGTCACAAATTTTGGTAAATTAAGATTTATGAATGATAATATATTCCTGCTAAGTATATAGGCAGCAAAAACTATGTACATTTAAATGGATTGAAACTATGACATTTATTTATAATTTTTAATTTATACTGTACTACTATACAAGCATATACATGTACTACCGTATAGCGGAAAAATTTCACGGATTTGTTCAAAAATCAATTTCGTGGCTTTAATTTTCGTGTTTTTCTACTTTTTAGCCATCTTGAACCATATTAAATCAATTTTCGCGGATTTTATTTTTTTGGATTTTGAAAAAACACGAAATCCACAAAAATTATGGGCCACGAAAATTTTCCGCTATACGGTATATTTTTCAAATACATGTACATATACACAATGTACATGTGAGTCTGGTCCATTGGTACTGTATAAATGAAGAGCTAGTATAAGTGAGTGTCAACATGTAGCTCAAAGTTTCTTTGTGACGTGGCAGGAGGAAAGGTCTTATTGCACATTGGGCATTGACGAGTCTCTTCATAATTGGAGGCGGAAGGGATCTCTGTGTTGTCATCAGGAGAACTTGGACTGTATGTATATGCATATGTATCTGATGGAGTTGATTCTGTAGTTGTTGATTGAGTTGCTTTTTGCTTTAGTTCAGATTCCAGTTTTTTGTTCTCTTCATTGAGTGTTTCGATATTTCTTGTCATTGCTCTTGCATCTTGTGTTAATTTCATTACCTTATCTTCAAGCTCGCTTATCTCTCTTTTTAAAGGGTATATTTTCTCTTTCTGACGTTTTATTTCCTCGTTTAGACTATCGATGATTTCGTTTTTTTCGGCGATTCTCCTGTCATGTTTGCATTGTAATTCTTCCAGTGCTGTGTCTGGAGCTGTGGTTGTGTATTGGTGTGGTGATTGAGTTGATTGACGCTTTAGTTTCCTATTCTCTTCGGTAAGCATTTCAATAGTTCTTTTCATTGCTTCCTTATCATTTGATAGCCTGTCTTGATTTTCTTTTAATTCTGTTTCCATAGACGATATCTTCTTGTTCAAGGAGTCTATTTCATCTCTTAGTCTATCAATCGTTTCGTTTTTATCGGCTATTCTCTTATCTACATGTAGCTTGAATTTCAATTCTTCCAGCTCCTTTTCTAATTCATTGGCCTTACTCTCCTGAGCTTTACTTGTTGTTGTGTGTTTTGGCAGTTGACTTGATTGTTTGTTTAGCTGGTGTAGTTGTTCTTTTAGTTGTTCATTCTCATCTTTAAGAGTCTTGATAGCTCTCTCCATTTCCTTCTCTTTGTCGATCTTGTTGCTTAGTAGCCCTTGCATCTTTTGTATCGCTGATAAAAGCTCTTTGTTTCTGTTTAAAGCAGTCTCAAAACACAACTTTAAATGACCCTCAAGATCACGCAGTTCACCAGTCCAAGGACATCCTTTACTTTTATACTTACAATACACCTTTAGGCCTAGCACTTGCCTCTCCACCATTTTATCTAACACAGTGTAATATTCTTCTCCTTTACAACAAGGGCATGGACCTCCTGCTTGTTGTACTCTGTATATACAGGAATGACAGAGCTTTCTACCACAGCATGTGATGAGATGTGGGCTCTTAGGAGGTAGGAGACATATTGGGCAGGTTAATTCATCAGGAGGGTCTTCTATAAGCTCACAATCGTAGCCACCATCTTGTCCCCAATCCATTTTTGAGTGGGTGTAGCCTTACTTGAATGTTTTCTGAAGCCATAATTACAATGTACTCCATTCAGATAGTTTTGTAGTACATTTTTTGTTATAATAATAATAATGCTGATGCGAATTATTTGTATAGAAACAAGTAAATGTACATTCCCACTATATTAATTTTACTTTTGGTATTAATGATTTGTTGATGTCTCCTCTTTTTCATGATCTCTCTGTCTCTTAATACATGTACATACACATAATTATTTATTCTTTTTCATCTATTTCTATTTCCTTACTTCACATACATGTACATTATTAGGTAACTTACTATGATGAGATGAAGGAGATAATGGCTGAGCGAGCCAAGAGAAACAGACAAGAATTTGAGAGTCTCCCCCCAGAGCAGAGACAGGACTATATAGGTGTACAACCAGGGGCTTATGTCCGCCTAGAGATACCAGTAAATAAAATAATCATATCAATCAATCAGTCCTTCAATCAATACTATTGTATAGTAGTTTTTATATATGCATGTACAGTACATGGCTATGACCTGTATCTGAAGTTCACAAATGATTTTTATAAACTTTATTTTACAAACCTTCACAAAATCTACAAAATTTGTTATATTAAAAAAATTGTTGTGCAATACATAATTAATAATGTTACTCTTTTTATCTCTTGTGTTACTATTTTTAGAACATACCTTGCGAGTTTGTCCAACACTTTGATCCATCCTATCCCATAATAGTCGGCAGTCTACTACCTGGGGAAGAGAAGTTGGGTTACGTCCGCGTTAGAATGAAGCGTCATCGCTGGTACAAGAAGATTTTAAAGTCACACGACCCCCTGATTGTGTCTATGGGATGGCGTAGGTTCCAGACCCTGTGTGTGTATTCAGTGGAAGATCACAATGGGAGGAGACGAATGCTCAAGTATACTCCAGAGCATATTCACTGCATGGCTTCTTTTTATGGTGAGTGTACTGCATGTACATATACATGTACATGTATATACATATATGTTTTAAATTGAAATTATATTGATTTTAAAGTTACATGTACAATTAAATGACTAAAATTTGAGCTGTTTCTGACGAATATTTTTTTGAGCTGTGAGCATTTTTAAAGACGGCCAATTTTTAAAAAATACCCAAGGCTATAGCCCATGGTTTTTTCCAAAAAATGGCTCCGAAATCACCTCCCCCCCAATTTTTATTACATTTTCCGATACATATTGATGTACTTATGCTATGTAGAAAGTTTGAGCTGATTCCGACAAATATTTTTCGAGTTATGAGCATTTTTTTAAATGGCCAATTTTCAAAAAATACCCAAGGCTATAGCCCATGGTTTTTCTGAAAAATGGCTCCGAAATCACCCCCCAATTTTTACTACCTTTTCTGATACATATTGATGTACTTATGCTATGTAGAAAGTTTGAGCTGATTCCGACAAATATTTTTTGAGTTATGAGCATTTTTTAAAATGGCCAATTTTTGAAAAATACCCAAGGCTATTATAGCCCATGGTTTTTCCAAAAATGGCTCCGAAATCACCCCCAATTTTTATTACATTTTCTGATACATATTGATGTCCTTACGCTATGTAGAAATTTTGAGCTGACTCCAATAAATATTTTTTGAGTTATGAGCATTTTAAAAATGAGCCAATTTTTTTTAAAGCAAAGGTTATAGCCCATGGTTTTTCCGATAAATGGCTCCAAAATTACCCCCAATTTTATTATATTTTCTGATACATATTGATGTACTTATGCTATGTAGCATACATCTAAATCTCTTTTAAAATCTCATGAGATTTATGGCCAAAGAGTTAATGTTTCATTATTGAAATCCCATTTCATTGTATTGTCTTATTATTCCCCAGGTCCTGTGACCACACCCAATACTGGAGTCCTTGCTATACAGTCTATCAATAATAACATCAACACTGTAAGCTAACTAGTCTGCATGTACATGTACATTGTACATATTATGTGTTTGTGTGTTAAGTTTTTTGTTGACTTTTGGATGTTTACTCATCAAATTGAAAGTGATGGCTGTGACCCGATTGCTATATAAATGATAACAAGTGAATGGTTCGATATGCACTTCAAAATTTCACCTGCCAATTAACTTTATCTTTTAATCGCAAAAATGCAACTCTGCTATTATGATTTTTTTATCAAGCAATTGTAAAATTTATGGAAATAAAACGGCATTAATTTTTGTACTCTATTTACAGTGTATATTTTGTATCACTTTAGTCAGATTTTCGAGTGGCAGCCACTGGGCTTGTATTGGAGATGGAGAAGTCAACCAGTATAGTTAAGAAACTAAAGCTGACCGGAGTCCCTTACAAGATATTCAAGAACACCGCCTTTATCAAAGGGATGTTTAATACTCCTCTCGAATGTGCTAAATTTCAAGGGGCATTAATTAGAACAGTCAGTGGGATAAGGGGACAAGTGAAAAAGAATCTCTCATCACCGGAAGGTACATGTACATGTACATTGCTATTATAACCAGATATTAGGCCAATTGCATTATAATATTGCTTACTCCTACATGTACGGTGTACCTATTTTCTTGAAATGTCCTATCAGTCATTGACCAAATTTTTTAGAATCAGTTCAAACTTAATGTGCAACGTACAAATGCACTCCTGGCCACTTTTGATGAGATTTACATGTACTGTATTATCCATTGTCTTGGTCATATTTCTTATGAAGCAACTCTAATTTTGATTAAAACTAGCTAAACGCGAAGTTTAAACTTTTCATAAAATTTTTAAAATTCTTGAAAGCTTCATACCCTGAAAAATTCCCCCAATACAATAAGTTGACTACATGAACAGGTAGTTTAGTGTTTATAATCTACAGAATCTCAATAACAAAGAGTAGCCCGTACATTTTTACATTGTAGCTGGATGCCATTAATTACTGTAGCTTAATTCCAATCCTCCACAGGAGCTTTTAGAGCCACATTTGAAGACAAGCTTCTAGCAAGTGATATAGTATTTCTCTCAACGTGGGTCCCTGTGGAGATACCTCGTTACTACAACCCAGTCACATCTCTTCTTTCCTCCGATAAGACCCTCTGGGACGGCATGAGGACAGTCGGACGCATGCGATATGAAGAGGGTCTGAAAGCTCCTTTAAAGAAGGACTCTCTCTACAAGGAGCAGGTGAGAGGACCTCGTAAATTCAATCCTTTAAAAATACCGAAATCACTCGAGAAAGAGCTCCCGTTTAAATCACGCCCGAAACTTTTCGCAAAGAGAAAAAAGAAGAGTCTTGCGGCTAAGAGAGCTGTTGTTTTGGAGCCTGAGGAGAAACGAGTGCGTACATTGATGCAACAACTGACAACTATTCATAGAGAAAAGGCAAAGAAGAAGCTAATGAAGCATAGGGAGGATATTAATAAACACATTGCAAAGAAGAAAGTAGAGGAAGAGAGGAAATTGCGAAGCACACGAGAGTTGCGGAAGAGGTTTTACGTTGAGGTTGGTTACGAAGAGAAGAGAAGAGCAAAGAAATCAAAAACTTCTTGAAACCTTATATTATTGTTATTATTATTATTATTATTATTATTGTATTATTTAATAAAGTGAAGATATTTTGAGTTATGGGGATTATATAAGTAAATAACTTTAAATTTGCTTTCGCTTTGTGAACATTTGATAGGTTTTATTTAAATAGATTTATTCAATTAAAAAATGAAACTAAAGTACTAGCCTAGCCTAACAATAACAACACGTATAATAGAAAATTTTAGTTTTCATTTTTTCCAAATCTCCTATTCATGTTTTCTATAACATCTCTCCTCATCTGCCAGTAACTGGGACAGATTTCTCCATATGGTTGAATCTGACCACGAGAACCAGGCAAAGCGAAACAAAGAACATGATAAAGCTTCATTATATTGCTCCTCTCCAGAAAATAGCGAAGAATGATCTCGTTTGTCGATACATCGTAGACAGAAAAACGAAACAATTTCATGAGCTCCCCAGGGGCATTCCCCCCGCCCTCATAGTAAGGAACTGGCTCAAAGTATTGAGCACTGTCTATACGATAGTCTTTTCCACAAAGACTCAGTGTCATTGATTCTCTTGCTAGTGCATTGATTCGAGGAGGGAATAAGTTTGGTCCCCAATGGTTACGGACTGCAATGAGCTCATTAACAATAGCATCAGCCTCTTCCTGTGCCTCTTGTGTGTCAAGAGATGACAGTGCTGTAGTGTATTCCTGGCACTTGATGAAGAGTTGGCTCATGAGACTCATGAACTCTTCATTGGTAGTGGGGAACATGTCCTTCCATTTGTAAGCCTCCTTGATCTCCTCTTGTAGCTTCTGCCCCTTCTCTGTGGTAATGACAGACATTTCTCCTTCCTCTGACAGTTTGTTTGGTCAAAATTAATTATGTTCACAGCTTTGAATACTTTTATACTATTAACTAGATTCATTCTATGCACTTCAAGGAATGCAGTAGCCACACAGTGTTATTACTACTGTTTATGGGGCAGTGAGCTTGATCTGTCTGCATAATGATTGCAAACTTTTTAACCTTTTCTAATGTCCTCCATTATATAAGCTTGCAAGTTTTATTTCAGTCAAAGAGCTATTCTTGTATTGAAATTCTAGCTTTAATATTGAAATATAATTTTTAAGTGGGTACTCTACTGAGGTTAGCCACAGTTATCATAGTTCTATGCCACTATATTAACATGCATTAATGTGTTTATGGAGGATAGCCTGAATTATAATACTGAATTATAATGACTTGTGCTCCATTGTGTTACTTAAATATAAACTGTTAGCTCTGTATATAGCAATTCCTAAAGTCAGACCATACTGCAAAGACAAAATATTGAGTTCAGGAGCTCCACATCACATGCTTTTATTACCTCATGCTTTAATACTGACTGACCTTTGATGATCTTGTGTCATCTATAGTGCTGGAGGACAGCTGCTTGTAAAAGACGCGTTATGTGGTCATTTAAATAAAATAGCACCTTGTTGGCACACACAAAATGGAAAAATTGGCTGACAAAAATCACAACAAAATTGATTGTAATTGTGTATGCATTAAGTCTGTATAATAATAATAATTTTAATAATAATAGTAATGGTAATAATATAATTATCACTTAATGTCATTCTCAATCCTCTTCATTATGCTCCTCCTAATCTCCCAGTAATTGGGACACATTGAGCCATACACCTGTACCTGTCCTCTGTCTGATCCTTTAGAGTAAGAGAGGACGTGATTATAAATAGTGTCTTTGGTTCTCTCCAAGAAGTACCTAATAATGACCTCATTCCGAGAGAGATCGTAGACAGAGAACCGGTATATTTTCACGTGGTCTCCAGGACTCGGTGAGGACTCGTTAAAAGGTACGGGCTCAAAGAACTCAGCGCAGTCAATCCTATACCTGTGGAAACTGACAGTGAGAATTATCCTCTCACGGACGAAAGCGTTACAGACTGACATTGGCAGCATTTTCGGTCCCCAGTGATTACGTAAGGCTATCAGTTCTTGGACTAAATAGTCTACTTCATGCAAGCCGAAGTGCTGAT